TAGGCTGGGTTTACAGGCTGGTGCACCACGGCCTGGCTAATTTGTATTTTTAGTAGAGGCAGAAGTTCACCATGTTGCCAGGATGGTCTCGAACTCCCTGACCCTTCAGGCTGGAGTGCAGTGGTGCAATCTCCGCTCACTACAACCCCTCTTTCCTGGATTCAAGCGATTATCCCACCTCAGCCTCTTGAGTAGCTGATACTACAGGAATGCGCCACCACATCCGGCTGATTTTTGTATTTTCAGTAGAGACAGGGTTTCACCAGGCTGGTCTCAAACTCTGGACCTTGGGTGATCTGCCCGCCTCAGCCTCCCGAAGTGCTGGGATTACGGGCGTGAGCCACCTCGCCTGCCCTGGCAAGGAATAAATCTTTAAAAATTAGTAAGAAACATACACATTTCAATTTTTCAATTAAGAATAATATTTGCTGTAGGCACCATCTTCCTGTCTTTCAGCCTTCAGCATGGTAGAAGAAAAGAAAAAGAGTGTAGAAAAAAACAGTTTAAGAACATCTGTGCTTGTTCCACCTTCATTTTCTGTTCTGTGCTTTGCCCGAATGAACCGTGTCTTCAGGTCGGTATTTCAAAGGCGGTGCTCCCAAGTAGCCTGGTTTTCCCGTTTGTGGAGGGCGGGGTCATAGAGGGGACAGGGGGAGGCTGTCTGGTCAGCACAGTGTACTTCCAAAGAACAAGGACTACCCAAAACTACAAGCCTTTGAAGGACCAAAGGAAAAGAGAAAAAACTAGCCTCTAACCAGGCCATGTGCTAGAAGTGATTGGCTACAAAAAAGAAAATTGGTTTCTGTGTATGACGGTGCATGGAAAAGGTCTTTATCTCTGCACAAGACAAAATATTCAAGTTTCAGAATATCCCAATGGCCTGTTTGCCCTGGATCTCCTCTTCTGCCCTTCCAATTGCCAAGGATGCTCCAACTTGGTGGAAGGAGGGTAGGTGGGAAATTCAGCAGCCCCTCTGTATCTCTTTCTACCCAACATTAACTCAGTAGGATGGATTTAAGAACCGGCAGCTTAGCCTGAGGAATTGCTGTGTTCTGTGGGAGCAGGGCAGGTTCATAAATAAGTGCACAGAGCTCTTGAAATATAGGGATCATCTGCTCTTCTCGGAACATAGATGTCCTTCCAGGGATGTGCATCTGGCCTCGTTGTCTAAGTTCCATCAAGGGAGCCTTCCGTTCTCTGCAGCGACAAGAAACAAGGCAAGTTATGATCACACCTCTCAAGATTGAAGATTGCCCTGATGGAGAGAAATACAAAATGGCAGACAGCATTTCTCGAAGAAAATGCAAAGCAGGGCTGTCACGCACTGGTCCCCCACCCTGCAGGGTTCTCTCTGTGACTTTAGAGGCCCAAGGAGTCCTCAGCACTACAGATGCATGTGGCCCCTCAGAAGACAACATTTCACAGATCTGCAAAGAGTAAAGGTCAAATTTTACTTAATACAACACCCACCAGGGTCCCTGTAGCTGTGTCACTGAGGCAAACAGGGAACGTGATTTTGGTTAGGCGTGGTTCTCAGTTGTGAAATTCCACAGTACAATGACTGCAGCCTCTCTCCCACCCACTTAAGACACTGTCAGGAACGTCTTAAGACCTCAGGAGACCACTTCTTTAGCAAGCAATTTTTTTTTTTTAGATGGATTCTCACTCTGTCACTCAGGCTGGAGTGCAGTGGCGTGATCTCTGCTTACGACACCCTCCCTCTCCTGGCTCCTGCCCACATGCATGTCTCTTTCTCTCCATACCTGCTCTGTAGGGACCATAGCCTCTGTCCCAGCATGTTGGACACCAATCACATCAGTCCACCAAGTAACTTCATCAAGCACCCATGTATACCCAGCACAGAGTCCCGAGGGTGCCCCATTTACCCACAGAAGAATAAAGGAAATTTTGTAAGAGATCTGGCTTCTAGCTCCAGTTCTGCCTCTAACTAACATAAGATGTACCTGTTTGAGGCCTGCTTTTTTATTTTAAAAATGAAGGACTGAACTTAGATGGTCCAACTTAAATGTTTTAAAATGATATGATTCTACCTTAAAAGGAGAATGAAATTCTGATATATTTCAACACAGAAAAACCTTGAAAACATTATGCTAAATGAAATAAGGCAGACATGAAAGGACAAATAGATGATTCCACTTATATGATGTACCTTGAATAGTCAAATTCATAGAGACAGAAAGTAGACAGCGGTTGCTAGGGGTTGGTGGAGGGGCAATGGGGAGTTAGTGTTTAATGGCTACAGCATTTTAGTGGCTGCTCTGCCTATGGAGTAGCCATTCTTTTGTTTCTTTACTTCTCTGATAAACTTGCTTTCACTTAAAAAGAAAAAGCAAAAGCTCTGGAGATGGATAGTGGTGATGGTTGCACAGCAATGTGAATGGACCTAAGGCAACTGAATTATACACTTGAAAATGGTTGAGTATACACTTGAAAATGGTGAATTTGCTGGGTGGCAGGGTTTCACGCCTTGTACATCCCAGCACTTGGTGAGGCCGAGGCGGGTGGATCATGAGGCTCCCGCGCTTCCCACCCAGCCTGGCCAACACAGTGATAATTCCCATCTCTACTAACAAAATAGCAAAAGGGAGCCAGGCGTGGTGGGTGGGCGCCTGTAGTCCCAGCTACTCTGGAGGCTGAGGCAGGAGAATGTGGTGAACCCGGGAGACAGGAGCTTGCACCGTGAAGGGCTGGAGATCGCACCAGGCGTGCACTCCAGCGTGGGGCTGGCGACAGAGTTGGAGACTCCGTCTCAAAAAAAAAAAAAAAAAAAAAAAGAAAGAAAGAAAGAAAGAAAATGGTAAATTTAATATTATGTATATTTTATGACAATTTAACAAAAAGGATTCCTGGCTGGGCATGGTAGCTCACCCCTGTAATCCCAGCACTTTGGGAGGCCAAGGTGGGTGGATCCCCTGAGCTTAGGAGTTCCAGACCAGCGTGGGCAACATGGCGAAACCCCGTCTCTATAAAAAATGCCAAAAATTAGGCATGCATGGTGGTGTGCACCTGTGGTCCCAGCTACTCAGGAGGCTAAGGTGGGAGGAACACTTGGGCCTGGGAGGTGGAGGTTGCAGTGAGTTGAAATAATGCCACTGCACTCCAGCCTGGGTGACAGAGTGAGACTTCATCTCAAAAACGAAACAAAACAAAACAACAACAACAAAAAACATCCACAAAAGGATTCCTGGATTCCTTCTACCATCCTGTAGTGCTCTCTAACAGCTTCAAATGGTATTTGTGTCACCTATCCACCTATCAGTGCCTGGACCATTATCTGACCCATATGCTGTTCTCTATGCTGGGGATGCAAGAAGCTGTTCCCAAGAATTTTATATTGTACCAATTACTGATAACACCACTATGAAGTAGAAGGTATAAGAGGTCTCACCAAACTGCGGAAGGGGTTCAGCGGCAGCGAGAGGGCTCTGGGCTGGGCAGCGGGGGATTCACAGAAGCAACTCTGGAGTCAGCCTAAAGATTGGATTTTGACAAATGGAAGGAGCCCTTGCAGGGAAAACGAGCAGGGCATGCTGGGAGATACCAGAGTAGAGGGGGCTCCTGGGCAACAGTGGGCCCTGAAGAGCAGGCAGCATCTAAATCCGCTATTCTGGAAATCCATGTGCACAGGACACTCTGCTGCAGGTGGAACTCAGCAAAGCAGGAGCAGGAGCCGGAGGATGACCCAGGGTCTTGGGACCTTCCCAAGGTGAGCTGGGATAGTGCCTCCATTTTGTTCCAGCCTTGCTGGGTCTGAGGACCCTTGGGGAACAGGACGCAGGGCTGAGGTACCCCAACTAGAAAGCCAAGGCTCTGGCCCCTCCTCTGCCAGGAGAGCCCCATGCGAGTGGGCCAAGCAAGCTGTGCTGGCCCCAGAGGCTGGAGGTCTGCCAGTGCTGGCAGCCACCCTGCTCCGTTTCCTCTGCTCCGCCTGAATGGGGGAGACATGACTCTGGTGTCCAGCCTTTCTGCGGGCCCCAGACCAAGTCCCTCCCCAGACACCTCCGCTCTCCCTCTGTGGGGGCAGTCAATGCCTGGGGCACCATTGCAGAGCCAAAGCCACAGACAGGAAGGGCTGGGCCACAGTCAACAGGGCCTTAGGGGTTTCGAAGTAAAGGTTAACACGCTCACATCCAAGGCCTGAGCTTGCTGTGCTTAAATCAGAAGCCAGCCATCAGCCATCCGAGTGCGGCTGTGAAATCGCCCTGCCTTGTACCCGGAATATGGTGTCATTTTGATTTCAACACACTCTGGGATCTCCAGTTCCTGCTTCTACACAATGCTGCTTCTATTTGCAATAGACCAGGTCTGTGCCAGGTGCTCATTCAACCCTTGCAACAACCAGATGAGGGAGTTTATGATTCCCAGTTTACAGATGAGGAAGCAGAGGTCCTGAGAGACCAAGAAATCTGCCCATGGTGACATGGTTAAGAAGCGGGAAGTCAAGTGTTAATGTGGGTCTCCGATTTCTAAGTCAAAGCCTGGTCTTGGTTGAATCCTATGCCTTGGGTAAGCAACTGCTATGTTCTCCATATGTGGCAGGGTCATTTCATGGCCAAATCAAGTTAAGTTCCCCCATCCACACCTACTATTGCCCAAGTGATGAAAAGAGCTTGAAACCAACCAGCTTGTATGTGGTGGTTTGCAGCTTACAGCTTTTATATGGTGGTTGCAGTTGCTCATTTCATCCTTAAGAAAATCCTAAGAGGTTACTCTTATCATCATCGTCATCACCATCTCCTCCACTTTATAGAATAGGAAGCTTGAGCCTGAGGAAGACAGGATCACCCAAAAGACAGCTGGAAAACTGGAGCTCCCCTCCCATCCCCTGATCCCATCACCTGGGCAGTTTCCACTGTAGCCCAGCTGCCTCCTGGCCTCCAGGAAGTGGGGAGGCGAGCTATAGCTGGCAATTGCCTTTCTTTCTGTAAGAAGGCAGGGTTCTCTCCAAGATCCCAAGACTGTCGTAGGTCCAGATTCACCCCTTTCATTTAAGTACAGGGTGTTCTCTTCCACGCTATCTGTCTGCGTCGACCACACACACAATTTATAAACAAGGTAAAAATGGCAGAGGAAAAATGAAGTCAGAATGTGCCATTGAAGCAAGTCAAACAATACCAAATTAGTCTTTGGCTAAGTGGCTATCTCATTGTTAAGATATTTCCTCCAATGTTTTCAGAGGCAACGGCCATTAAACAACTGGGAATGATCGCCAGGTTTGATTTCAGGAAGGAAATCTCCTCCCATTTCCCCACTAGGCAATTCAATTAATTTTCTCCTGACCCACACCAGCTGATTATTAGGGAAGCTATACCTGCTTCTTTTATAAACAAAACCCATTTGCTTAAAGGTTCAAAATTCCTTTCCCAATGGCTGGAAACCCTGTGCTCCCACCAGATGACTTTATTCTTTTTTCTGGGGGGACAGGACCAGCCATGGGTGAGCTCTCAGGACCATCCTGGGAGCAGATTTTGATGCCCAAGGGCCAGCTTCTGGGGAAAGTTCTGTCTGGCCTGGAGCTCAGAGCCTTTGTCCAGAGACACCCTTTGGATCCAAGACAAAGTAAATAAGTTGGTCCTACAGGGTGTTTTGGGTGGACCCAGCCATGTTTATCGCTCCGGGAGAACACATCTGTGTCCCGCACTGCCCAGGGAGCAAAGACCTCATTTTCCACTCTCTCGAAGAGATTATTGCTGGAACAGCAACTTCACATCTTGGAAGGAGTCTCTGTCATGACAGAGGACTGGCCACGGAGTATAGAGGCCCGGGCTCTATTCCTCACTCTATTAGCTATCCAGGTGGCCCCAGGCACGCTGTTCTACCAATGCAGGCCTCAGTTTCCTCATCTGTCAATTGGGCTCCTTGTCCCAGTGACACAAGAGTCTCTGATTTCAGGAGTCTGAGTGGGTTTTGGCTAGAAAAAAACAAAACAAAACAAAACAAAACAAAAAAACAACCATTCATTTCATTCCTCTTTTCCTTAAATTCATAGCTTTCTTCCATAAAAGGAATATCAGTGGCTTCCTGTCTGTCAAAGGCATAACGAGCTCTGTTTTACAAGAGTCCAGACATGGGCAAAACAAAGGAAGCCAGGGGCCCACTGGAAGAGCTACCAGAAATCTTGCCGAAGGTTCTTCCCAGACCTAAAAGAAGTTTATACGGCGAATGCCTCATTTCTTAAGATATTAGCTGCCCAGTTAACTCCTGCATTGCTGGGTAGCTCACAAAAAGGTTGGGAGTGGAAGACAGGTCTTTGCAAAAGTTGAACGTGGGCCTCTGTGTCTTTCATAAACCCTCCCATCTGCCAAATAGCAGATTCCTAACTCTATTTCCTACAGAATGAAACTTCTTAACAAGACAAGGCATGTAAGTCCTTTGGATTTAAGCCCTGACTTATCTTTCTCCCGTCACTTGTCACTGTCACACTCTTCTTCTCCCATCCCACGCTGCTTGAAGCTGGTCATCCCTCACCCCTGTGCTCCTGCTGATCTTTCTCCCTCGATGCTGCCATCACTCCATTCATTCTTCACGGCCCATCCAAATGATTCCTTGGGGAAGAGGCCACTAGCCAGGTCTCTCTCCTGTGTTCCCATAGGCTCTGGCATAGCTCACTTTGCTTTATGATAAGTGATCACATGTCTGATTCCCTCAACAGAAGGTGAACTGAGAAGGAGAACCTTGTGTGTCTCCTGCAGCTGATGGCCTGGTGTGTAGTGGGTAATTGGTATTGGCTAAATTGCACTGAGCTGTCAATTCTCCACTCCTCCAAGCATACACCCTAGATCTGCCTCACTTCCAGAGCCTAGACTCTGCCATTAATCGAAATGTGTGCTTTGCTTGTTTGGTGCTAAGCACCCTAGAGTCCCAATCCCTTCACAAGTGGGCTGAGATGTAATGATGGAAATTGCAAGAGAGAATATTCAAAATCGGAAGTGGCCAAGGCTAGTCAGAGAAGCCCAGGGCTCCTGGTCTGAAACAGACTAGGGAGTGGGGAATAATTCGTGGGAATGCAGGACGTGGGTGAGTCTGGAAATATTTCACTGTTCAGTGGAGTATTTTAAATATAATGTATGTGAGATGTGTACTTACAGAGTATCTGTTTTCCATGGTATCTGCAAAACAAAGGGTGACATGGCAGTGAGCAATGCAAAGAACCCAGTTCAACTGCCCCAACAACGTCACAGGGGCAGGAGCAGGCCGAGAAAAGAGGGAGGAGGCAAGAGCCAGGAGACATCAGCCCGCAGGTGCCCTTAGAGGTTTCTGGCTCCCGTGTGCAAAGACAGGTTCCCCGGAACCCTCTGGCTCCACATGACATGCATATAAAGTCCCTGGCACTTCATTTAAAATTTTCTTTATTTTTTTTGAGACAGAGTCTCCCTTTGTCACCCAGGCTGGAGTGCAGTGGCACCATCTCGGCTCACTGCACCCTCTGCCTCCCGGGTTCAAGGAATTCTCCTGCCTCAGCCTCCCAAGTCGCTGGGATTACAGGCAAGCACCACCATGCCTGGCTAATTTTTTTTGTATTTTCAGTAGAAATGGGGTTTCACCATGTGGCCAGGCTGGTCTCGATCCCCTGGCCTCAAGGTATCCGCCAACCTCCAGCCTCCCAAAGTGCTGGCTATGTCACCATGTCCGGCCCTCATTTATATTAACGTTTTTTAAATGTAGTATCATGGCCAGGCTGGTGGCTATGCCTGTAATCTCAGCATTGGAAGGCGAGGCGGATAGCGGATCACCTGGGCCAGAGACCGCCTGGCCACATGACGTGAACCCCATCTTCTACTAAAAATACAAAAATTAGCAGGCGTGGTGGGGGCCACTGTAGTCCCAGTTACTCGGGAGGCTGAGGCAGGAGAATCACTTGAACCTGGGAGGCAGAGGTTGTAGTGGAGCCGCGAGATTGCGCCACTGCACTCCAGTCTGGGCAACGAAGCAAGACTCCATCTAAAAAAAAAAAAAAAAAAAGAAGGAGACATATTTTTTTTAAGAAAAAAAAAAATGAAAACTATGGGAAAGTAGGAAGTAGGCAATAAAAATGATCTCTGGCTCATTCTCACGTGTTGATGGCTTTTTTTTTTTCTAGTCATTTTCCACTATGATTTGACTTTTTGGGGGGCAGGGAGGCCAGGGGAGGCGTTATAATTATACAGTATTATGCCACTTTATAACTTACTTTTCATGTAACATGGCTTTATAAACTTTTTCCGGTACACTTCTCCAAGCATAATTGTCCAATTGCTACTAAATAATTGTTAAATGGATGTGCAACTATTGACTTCACCCAATTCCTTACTTTAAAAATATAGGTTCTTTCCAAGTTTTTGCTCTTTTCAATAATACCACCAGTATCTCTTGGGAATAAGGCTATTCTAGATTTCACACTATTTTGCTCAAATCCTTCTAGGAGCCAAGACCTCAACAGAGCAGGAAGGCAGAAGCATTGCCAATGCTCTTAGCAGATTGGGCAAACTCTTTCCCCTTCCCTCCAGGAGTCTCTTCTCCAACGCCCAGGAGCCCACCACACCTTTCTTTTTTTTTTTTTTTTTTTTTTTGGAAACAGAGTCTAGTTCTGTCGCCCAGGGTGGAGTGCAGTGGCTCACTGCAACCTCCATTTCCTGGGTTCAAGGCGATATCCTCCTGCCTCAGCCTCCCAAGTAGCTGGGATTATAGGTGCCCACCACCCATACCGGGTAGATTTCTGTATTTTTAGTAAAGATGGGGTTTAGCCATGTTGGCCAGGCTGGTCTCAAACTCCTGACCTCAGGTGATCCACCTGCCTCAGTCTCCCAAAGTGCTGGGATTACAAGGCATAAGCCACCGTGCCTGGCCTCACACCACCTTCCTGGCAGGTGACATGCTGTGTTTGCCTGGCCCTGCCAGTCTGCAGTTGTGCAAATGGTCCCAACCAGATGTCAGCAAGAGGACAGTGAGGGTGAGAAAAGCCAATGAGAGCAGGAAGCTCTGCATGAGTGGTGGGTGATCCCTGCCTGCATTCATTAGAGATGGTCTTCACTATGAGAGGCAAGTGACGAGTATGGCTTGCCCTTCTGGAAAGGACCAGGACCCCACCCAATGGTCAGCGGCCCATATGTTGGAGCAGATCCCCAAACAGCTGACTGTGGACCCTGACTTGAAGACAGAGAAGTCATGGGAACCTCACCTGCTGCCTGGGGGAGACCCCAAGAGGTGATGCGGGCATTGGGGATGGTTGCTGTTCTCAAAGGTGGTGGAGGGAATGGTGGGAGGGCCATAGGTCCTCAGTCTTATCGAGAAAAGCATGCCAAGGGGCCTCGGTATAGAGCCAGCCCCAAGCCCACATACAGTTCCTCCTGGACCTCGGGCAGGCTCAGGGCCCATCTGTCACAGCGGAGGTCACAACCCTTCTGTTTCTCTAATTTAGAAATATCCTGTTTCCCCAAGTCCACCTCACCCTAACACCCTGTCTTATCACAAGTCCTTTGCCCCTCCCCCATAGAGGGAACAGAGCCAGAAGTTCCTCAGAGGCCCTTTTTCTGTCCTGGCTGGGCCAGAGGCTGGCGTCAATAGCCAAATGATGAATCAGCCCAACGGTAATGTTGAGCCATTGTGTCAACTTCCATGCATTGAGTGAGGTTGGGGACAGCACCCCCAACGCAAATCTGACCTGCAAGGACCCAAAGGATCCCGTGATTCCTGGAACCTCCTAGTCTCCCAAGGGCTCTGGAACCTCCTTCCCAACAGGGAAAGAACCTCAAGTCAGCATTTTCTAAAGCAATCTAAAGACACAATGCTAAAATCTCAAATACTGATGGAACACCCACTCCACGCACACTTGCAGTTCTTGTTTTTTTGGTAACAGAGCAGTCACCACCAAAGTAGAATTGGAGGTAGCATCCATTTTTTTCATGGGATGCTCTTTTACCATCTTGCACGCCAAAGTAGGAAATGGCTCCCTAGGGGTAGGGTTGGCAGTGCCCTCTGGCCTCACTGGCTCTGGGCCTCACAGGATGGGTGGGGACTGATCCTCAAGTGCTCTTCTCTTCCTCCCATGGGAGACTTGGCACAGAGGCCTCCTTTTCTTCGGTTCTTTCTCAGCCATTTCCTGTCACGGCTACTCTCAGCCCAGTCACTCTTGGTATACTGGCTGGCAGGGGATGAGGTGAGGACTAGGGTTTCTGCCTCCTTAAGCAACACCCTGGAAGTCTGAATTCCAGGCAAATAGAAAGTAGAAGGTAGACTGGGTGCAGTGGCTCATGCCTGTCATCCCAGCACTTTGGGAGGCTGAGACGGGCAGATCACTTGTCCTTTGGTGGCCAGGGTTTTCGAGACCAGCCTGGCAACATGGTGATCGTCCA